GATAAGTTTATCTTATTCTTCTTGTAAATGTCAATTGGAGGTATGTGCCATATTTTTTATGGTTACATGTTAAACCAAAACTTAATGTTAATTTTAATATACGTTTGTTATATTTTAATTTGCTTTAATTCATTTTAAACACATCTAGTATTGTAAGTTGGATGCATTTGCATTCTCGAATGCAAGTGACATTTTGCAATCTAGCATCAAAAATAACTTTTTTTGCATTACAGGAAAATTTTAAATATTTTTCCTACAATCAGACGACCGGTAAAATCTTGTTGGAGACAAGCTAGGCTTCGAGTTACCAGATCATTCCCCAAATACAAAGGAGGAAGTGTAATGTTTTGGGGTGTCGTTATGATTGGTAAAAAAATCCTTTAATTTTCATTAGAAAAACCCTAACAGGTCCAATGTATGTGCATTTGGTGTTACATCCTCTATACTACAGTAAGGCTCTGTAGAGTGGTCTTCGTGTTCACCAAATTTTAATCCAATTGAACACTTGTGGGGTAGGTTAAGGGATGGATTCGAGCTCGTCAAAATAACTCTGAAGGACGCAGAGAAACTAATTGAAGAAGTTTTAAAAGAGTGGGAAAATGTTCCCCAAGAAGAAACTAATAACTTAATAGAAAATTCGTGCTTGCATTAACGCTACAGGCGTCCGAAATGTGAGAAACAATTGTGTTTTAAAAAAACAGAAACCTCGTAAATGTGTCTTCTACGCATGTGGTGATTTCAAAGAGCCAACGTACAAACTTAAAATTACTAGAAAAGTAAGACAAAAATAACAAGAAAAATAAAGAGTAAGTATGAATAATTAGATTTAAGATTAAGATTCGTTTTTATTACACGTGCATAAAGCTAGAGTTCAATAAAAATATATAAAAGGTTTTTTAAACTTATCAACAAATAGACAGAATTAAATTAATAATTTAAAATGATTAAATGATAACCATATGATAAGCATAAATGAAATAAATTTTCATAAAATAACATAAAGCATAAATGCATAGCCGACTACAGAAAAATATTGTGGAGTTGCTTCCAATCGTGTATACATGCTTCTCATTTCCAAACTAAGTATCGAATACGACATACCTATTTATTAAAATATTTTATTATAAAATTGTTGTAATTGTAATATATTCTAAATTAACAAAGTAACAAATTGTTAATTTAACTATGATACGTACCTACCTATAAATAGTATATTGTATACGACTAGTGGACATTTCTTGTGCGTGTAGTTTGCCGCACGAGCGTAGCAAATGAGGAAACAGTAGTCGCACACATTATTTTAAAACCACAAGGAATTTAAATCCAATTTTATTTGATATTTAATCTAACATCTAACAGCTGTCAATTAGTTTTAACCTCAATTTTTTCCAAATTTCGCCCACCGGTTAAAGTTGGGTGTCCAATAAATAAAATATACTGTTTTACCTGTTTTTTTAACTAAATTTATTTCAGTATAATAATAATAATAATGATGATGATGATAATGATAATGATAATTATAATGATATTTTTTTTTATTTGAAGTAAGGTTCGTAGGTTTAGGATGTAAAATAAAAAGTTGTTTTTATTTTACTTCAAATAAAATAAAAATTTAAAGGACACTACACAATGTGTACATTGCAATAATGATAATGATAATGATAATGATAATGATAATGATAATGATAATGATAATGATAATGATAATGATAATGATAATGATAATGATAATGATAATGATAATGATAATGATAATGATAATGATAATGATAATGATAATGATAATGATAATGATAATGATAATGATAATGATAATAATAATAATAATAATTTATTTGTTGTAAAGAAAGATAATACATTTCATTTTAAAAGTATAAAGAGAAATATACAAAACTAATCTGATACAACAAAATGGACTGGAAGGCAGACTAATCTGATTGTAATTCCAGCCCAAAACAAATTTAAAAACAAAAAGAAACAAAATTAATATAGGTCCATGACTATTTTAAAATAAAAAATTAATGTAGAAAGAGGTGGTGATAATGATAATGATAATGATAATGATAATGATAATGATAATGATAATGATAATGATAATGATAATGATAATGATAATGATAATGATAATGATAATGATAATGATAATGATAATGATAATGATAATGATAATGATAATGATAATGATAATAATAATGATAATGATAATGATAATGATAATGATAATGATAATGATAATGATAATGATAATGATAATGATAATGATAATGATAATGATAATGATAATGATAATGATAATGATAATGATAATGATAATGATAATGATAATGATAATGATAATGATAATGATAATGATAATGATAATGATAATGATAATGATAATGATAATGATAATGATAATGATAATGATAATGATAATGATAATGATAATGATAATGATAATGATAATGATAATGATAATGATAATGATAATGATAATGATAATGATAATGATAATGATAATGATAATGATAATGATAATGATAATGATAATGATAATGATAATGATAATGATAATGATAATGATAATGATTATGATAATGATAATAATAATATTAAAAATAATAATAATAATAATAATAATAATACCACTATATCCCAATAATTCAAAAAATTCAAATATTTGTTTTACTGTTAGGTTTAGTTATAGGGCATATTTATGTGTCAAAAAAAAAATTATCTTTTCTATTAAAATATTAAAAAATATATAGGGTGTTCCATTGAAAAAAAAACAAACATTTTTACCTTTAAAAATCTTCAACATTCAGGCAGTATAAAAAACACCCTGTATAACATTTTGAAAAAATATATAATTAACTTCTAGCTTAGTTCTAAATAAAGAGATGGATACTATAAAAAATAATTATTTTTAGTTGTTTTTTTTTCAGTTTTAACCAATTAAAAAAAATACTAAACTTAAATAAAAGTATAAACATTTTCTAATTATTATATTTTTAAAGTACAATAGGTTAAAGAATATGTATAATCAAAAAATTTAAAAAAATACAAGGTGTTCCATTAAAAATAAGAAAATTGGTGTCGCCCCAGGAAAAAACAAACATCCTGTATAAATTAAAATATAATATTTTAAAAAAAATTATTTAGGTAGATCATAAAATTTGTCCCATTACACATTTTTTGTAACTCGAGTACTCTCTTAAAATGAAATACCTAGTCAAAATTCTCTGTTGAATTAGTACCAGCATTTTTTACTAATAAAATACCTAGTCGTCTCACTTTTATATAGTTATTCTTTACTACGTAAATAGTTAAAGTTTGACTAATTTAAGATTAGTCACCATCTTTGACTAGGGGAGAGTGGGTAGACATTGGACAATTTTTAGATTTTTTTGCCTGGGCCTCTTAAAAATGTAATTATTTCTAATTTCAAAGTTTCAGGTAATAGTGTTGACTTCTGAAAACGAAAAGAGATAAATATGTGCACTTTAAACCGTAAGATGGGTTTGCTATGAATTTTTGAAAATCTCGGTCATCTGTCCAAAGTCACCCCACATACGGGGAGATTCTGGACAGCGTAATGGGTGCATTTGGACACTATAAAAATATTATAAATTTAGGAATTTTATTGAAGAAATCAGTGCAAAACTTATACAATACTAAATTGCGACAAATCAAAATTAAAGTAAATCATGTTATGGAATTGAACTCCGTCAGTGCGTGGGAAGAACCAATACCACGTCCTTTAAATCCACCAAGGCTTCATCTTTATCTGTTTCTTTAAATCTGTATGATGGAAGGAATTTGACTGTATATCCTCGGTTTAATTTTTGCAATATTTGACGAAGTGCCGGGACGATGTTTGGACAATAGAGGAAGACTCTAGACAGTGTGTCCAAAATCTCCCTACATGATGTGGAACAAAAAAAAAATGTTTATAATTTCAAAATATAGCAACGGAATAAAGTAAGAATATAACAAAAGTTTCATGCTTTAATATGTAGTAACTTTAAATTATTTATCTACAACGGTCTGGGCAGAAAAGCTTACAAGGGAAAAGTAAAATATTACATGAAAAAACTCAAAAATAAACTTTTTCTCTTACCTCTTCTACAGCTAAACTCAAACTTATTTCACTACCACTATTTGATACCTTACCAACTTGACGATCTGTAATAGTGGAACCGCGAAATTTGTCCATTGTCCTTTGTCTCCCAGTGTCCAGACCCACCCCTATTTCTGAGAGTTAAAAGTAACTAATTTCTTTAATCGTTTGCGGTCAACAACAAAGTATTATTTGAATTAAATGCATACCTATAGGCTCCATGGTTAAATGGCCCATAAAAACAAACAAAGATGCAAAAAGTTTAGCTCAAAACAGCAACACAAATAATATATTCAACTTTAAAATATAATGAAAAAAATGTATTGCCAAATAAAATTGATTTTTATAAGAGCGGTTGATAGCCAGTTTGGTTATGTTAACAAGTGACAGACCTGAGTTCAATCCCCGGCTGGGTCAAAACCTTTTTAAATTTAAATCTACTAATTTGACTATTTTATTCAGTAGAATTTGACTAATTATTAGTGACTGCTTTTTCGCTATGACAATTAGTCAAATATTACTTATAATTAGTTATTTTTGACTAATTCATTTTAAGAGAGTACAATAAAAACATTTGAAAACATTTAGATCCAAAAGCAATATAAATGGTTTAAACACCCTCAAACTTGAGGTAAGTAGAAACATTGTCCAAACAAAGGCGAAATCTAGTTCTGCAAGCACGTTATATCCAATCATGTAAGGAGTATGCATAGGTAGGGTATTCGACCCTTGCACGGGTGCGTACCCTTTCATCGTGTGATGATGCTCATACGCACACATACAAATACACACACACGCGGTGTGCAGACTGTTTGGTCGGACTCTGCGAAGAGGTGGAGGCTGCTTGCTTCTCCGTACGTAGAACCAAAACCATTCACATCAGTACGCGGCTGATGTTCGTTGTGCATTTGCGGCGCGTAAGTTTTGAGTTATTTTGACGGCGTTGCACCGCACAATACCTATTTATTTCGCGGGACGTTCATAGACACCGTGATTTATCTTGATAATTTTACTTTATTTTATTGTATTCAATTGTTAAATAAATCATTGTCAAGTTCAGTGTCATTGGTGTTCGTTAATTTGTGAGCTTTCAAGTGCTTTGTGACAATTTAAATTGAAATTAATTGGATTAAAACATGATAAATTAAGGTAGGCTGGATGTTATCTGTATTAATTTTTTTTAAATTAACACATTCCAAAGTGAATAGTTAAATAGATTTTACTCAAAGTTTTATAAATTCACTAAATTTGGAATCAGTCATTGCTTAACCTGGTAATTTTTAGATGGAGTTTTTGATTATGATTTTAAAAATGTATAGTTTTTATATTTATTTTGCGATTATTGCCAATAATTATAATTGACCTAGAAGTCATGCATATTTACGTATTTATACATATTTTTGTGAAGATTCGTCTATTAATGTTATACAAATAAAATTACACTTTTTATGCATAATTGATATAACTCTTGCGGTATGTTTTTTGGAAAATTAAATTTGATTTTGAATTTTGAATTTAATCTTCAAAGAATTGATCTGAATAAAAATTATTTTGATTTAATTTAGCATAATTTAATAATATGTACATAAATTTTTTATTATTGCCGATTTGCAATAGAAATATGTTAAAATTTCATAATGTAGATATCATGATATACATCTGTATTATAAAATTATAACATATTTCTATTGCAAATCGGCAATAATTATATTTTTTAGGTAAATATTAAATTATTGAGTCATTGAGTTTTATTTTTATTTATTAGAAATTTTATTAAATTAAATTACTTTTTATTCATATTTATAATCTCTATATTAATAAAACTATTTGAATTATTACACAGTAGGACCCATAAAAATTTTCTACCGATTTTGAAATGAGACTTAAAAAAATGATACCCATGTCTCGGAGTTTTTTCAGATCACGTCATTTTTTTTTAGTGCGATTCAATAAAATGTTATTCACGGTATTTAATCGCACTAAAAAAAATGACGAATATATTTGGCACATAATATAACAGCTAAGCTGTATGTACATATGTGTATAAAAATTATTTACTAAATAAATGAACATACATTAAAGCTACATTTAAAAATTATTTAAATTTTATATTGTTATACCACTAAAGATTTTAAAGCAATGTATAATCGTTAAACTTGAAGACCAAGATTTTTTTCCAACAAATATCGAATAAAAATACAAATATGTTATTTTATTTAAAACAAAAAAACAAAAATTTAAAATAGAATTTTTTTTTATTTTACTATTAGGTATTTATTTTATTTTTTTATTAAAATTATTATTTTTTTTAAGTATAATTTTTTTATTTTGTAAGAACATACAATACTTGAAGAAAAAAACTTGAAGAAAAAAAATGATTTATATATAAATTGGTATACCAAAATAGAGAATTAAATATCTATATATGTTAAAATAATAAGAATGGCTGTATAAAAAATTAATTTCGTGAAACGGTGTGACACGGGTTAACCTCTATTTTCAAAATCCGTTAAAATTTTTCATGGGAGGGAAATCGTGTTGAACTGTCGTCAAAAATAATAATAATAATAATGAAATAAACACCAAATATAAAATATAATAAATTATTAAATAAATATCTAAATAGCCAAAATATATTAACTGATCATATAAATATAATGATATTTTCGAACCCCGATTTTTTTAAGGAATTTGATTTTGTGTATTTGTAATCTATATATTAATAAAACTATTTGAATTTTTATAAATAATAATAATTTAATGGAATAAACACCAAATATATAACGTATATTTTAACTGATTCATATAAATATCATTACATTTTCGATCCCCAATTTTTTTAAGAACATTGTATTACAATTACAATATATGCTCGTTTAAAATTGGCAACATTCGTATTTAAATGATAAACTTTTGGTGGCTTGGTGATCAATAGAAATAATATATTTTAGCTTCAGGCGTTCTATAATTTAAGCTTTATTATTGTCAACACTTAAGTACTACCAAAGTATTTGATTATCTCCTAGGCTGTAAAAATAATTTAGACCAATCAGGTGAAGTTTTTTAGTCTCGGCTGAGACGTGTTTTTGTGCTTCGCTCAATTGTAGGCCTCCGCTAACGCGTCGTACTTAAACTTTGAGCTCAGCACAAAAATACTCACTTCTCAACCTTATGACATAAATAATTATTATATGTAAATAGTGTAAATTAAATGCATTAAACATGCTTAAATAAAGAGCACAGAAAAAAGTACGATTTTTATAACTTAACTAAATAACAGCAAATAAACAAGTGGTTTTAATTAATTTATTGAAGTTAATATTATAATTTAAATCTAAATTATAATAGTATATTATGTATCAAGTTTGTTAAACGCCATTTTATACACGAATTTAATTTAGGCACGAGCAAGCTTGCGAGCGAGTGCCTAAGTTAATGAGTGTATAGAAAAGTTTATAAACGAGGTGCATACTTTACTTTTTCTACGACAAATACTTATTATTATCTTAAAATGATTTAAATAAAAAAATTGTATAGAGCGCCATCTATGAAACAACAGGGGAAACTGTCAAATGTCACATTTTTACATTTTATAAACACAATTATAAAGGTTATAAAATCGAAATGTATCTTGAAAATTGACAGTTTTTCACAGTGAAAGTAAAGGAAATGTTTTATGAGGACGTCAGTACAATGTTCATATAAACTTTTCAAATATTGGCGTTGAGAAACTATTTAATATTTTTGTATTTTTGTATTGAGATAATAAAATAATTTTCACATTTAGTATTATTTTACAAGAAAGGCACTTTATTTTAACGATTGTATGACATTTGACAACTGTCAACCAACTTAAAACTAACTTCAGCCCGTGACTAAAAACCTGTTGCTAACTTCAGCCCGTGACTAAAGCGCCGTAAAGACACAACGTGTCAATGTGTATTTAAAAGGTCACTTAGTGTCATGGAAACATGATGAAATGATCCATGATCAAACTTCGCCCTTTTAATGTATTACTTTTTATATCAAATAAAGTCGTTTTATTATTATTATTATTATTATATTATTATTATGTACGATAAAGGGCGTTTTAAAGGTGGGAGTAGAAAAAATTATTTAGTCTACCTTCGATAAAAATAGTATCAAACTTGAATTTAAAATAATGCTTTTTTATTCAAAGAAGATTTTTTTGGAATTTTGCAAGTTTATGTCGTATAATATTATAGATATTATTGCGTTTGTGTTCAGTAATGGGATAACCTGAAAATGATTTTTAAAACTCTTAATATTATTATATATAATAATATTAAACGCTTTTATTGAAATAAGGAAATACACTATTCCAAATGGCGGAATTTGAATTTAAACATTAAAAATGTAACAATTCATTCTTACATTCAACCAAGACCGTTATATTCGTAAAATCCCTTATTTAAGGGAAATCTAGAGAGTATATTTGCAGGCGCGGGGTATACCCCTATAGGGGTTGGCAAAATATAAGAGTAAAATAAAACTATGAAGATCATAAGCTTGTTAGGATTTCAAAAAAAAAACAACTGTTTCTTACATTCTGGTGGGGGTCTAGCACAGTTTTTTTTAAACCACTATAGCTTTTTTATGAAACTTATAAGTCGCACAGTGTTATAAGTCAAATAACATTTATTTAAATAAAAAATCATTATTTTAAATTAAAGTTGGATACGATCTAAATAATACATTTTGAATTTTATAATTTACGTTTAAATTGTAAAATTTACTTAAGAAAATTGATAAAAACCATTTGTTTATTTGCAGGTTAGTATTTTGATATGAAAACCTTAATTTATTTATACATTTAACATGTAATAATTATGAAATCAGCAACTGTTGACATATAATAAGATATATTGCATTGTTTATATTTATTATTTATGTTTTATATATGATTTATATACATGCCATCAAATGGTTATGTTTAATAAGAATGTTACTAAGCGTGCAGACTCGCTTATGCGATTATAATATAAAAATTAAAAATTTCAAACAATTGCTCGATATTTAATAAAACAGACCCATTTGTTTGCGACTCACCCTTGTAAAATCTTTATTTATTTTGCGATTTGAACCGGATTTGTTTTCTTGATAAACTCTATTAACGGAGCAAAAAATTATTTGTTAAAACAAATCTCTTAAATATCTCTAATAGTTTCCGAAATATAAACTAATAATAACATTGATGCGTTAATTTTGCTAAATAGATGAAATTTTTGATTTGGAAAATCCATAAAAAACTAATATCCGAAATCGGCAGTAAAGTAGTCAACAATCGGCAGTAAAGTAAAACTTTACTACCGATTTAATACGAGTATTGTATGCAACCCATTATACATTTTAAGATGTGTTTACTGCTCCTCAGCATCAACTAAATAATATTTAAAAAAAAGCAACGTCGCGGAGGTCGATTGGACCCTTTCATAAAATGTTGTTTAATAAAAATAATAAAAAATAAAAATTGCCGCGGCGGGCAAATATATAATAACCGTCGCAACAAACAGTATACGTACACTTCCTACATTCAAATGGCATTTGATTTTATCACCAAATGACATTTGATTTAATCATCAAAATTAATTATTAGTATTATTAAATATTAGCGAGGTGCATATTAAATTAAATAAATTTAATATGCACCTCGGCGTTGAAGTCAAATTTTATCACTCACGTGGTTATTTGCCTCGGCTTTCGCCTCAGGAAATAATTTCCATATTCGTGATAAAAAATACGACTTTACTGCCTTGGTGACCGGTTTTACTCGTTTTGACATAAATGTTAAAATTAATAAAAATATTAAATATTTAAAGTTTTAAATATTATAAAATTTAATTGTATCATCATCACTTTATTTATGTCTATCTATTATCTGTTACCTACTTACTAACGGATAAAACATAACTTTTAAAATGTATGCTAATTAATAAAGGTATTTTATTTATAACAAAAGTATAATACGTTTAAAACTTCATTAACCTATTTATAGGAACATGCTAATTAAAACCAATGATTAAAGACTTAATTAATATAAAAGAATCAGATCCGTTCTATTTAAAATAAATTACAAAAAGTTCAATTGTTAAATATCCACTTAAAATTTAAGCAGTTATTAAGATGAA